ACTGAAATGTCCCTTCCAACAACATTTCCCAGTTAGTAATTCTGTCCTGTGTTTATACAAAAGCCACCTCCTGGGAAAAAGGCCCTCTATGTTTATTCACACTTAAATTCACTTGACATTTAGTTCATTTTCATGGATCCTTGCCTGGTGGGTGTTGGCAATAAAATGAGAAATGGCAGGGCTCCTGTCCTCAGGGAGCTCACAGTGTCCCTGAAGTAAAGATATACATTCATAAGCAAGAAGTACAATGTGGCTGGAAAATCATTCAATCAATGCTGCCATGGTACAATGGGGCTACAGAAAGTCAGAGATGTCTTTGTGGGAAGCCAAGTAAATACCACACCTGGCAGAGTTCAGAATGTTCCAGCCAGGAAAAGTGGGAGTAGTGGGTTTTACTGTGTTATGGAAGGAGAATCATTAAGACAGACAAAAGTGTCTGGCAGTAGTGTAAAGTCACCCATCATTGTATGGAAGAGCTAGAGGCAGCATTCAGACCCCCCATTTTGGTGGATAATCAATGGGATTGCACTAGGTAATGTGTCATGAGAAGATTGTTCATGAGAGTATGATGTTCCAATGAGTGCAGGAGCCAAGATTCTGTTTGCCCAGACATGGTGAAGGATCTATCTTCTTGTGGGACTTTGCCTGGAAAGTCTATTTCTATTCACAACAGAAAGAGAAGACAACAATGGCACAAAGAAACAATTGTGTCCAAAAACATATTGATGAACCAATGAATTTATTGGAGTTACTGCAAGAATATGACTGTCACTTGGGTAGCTGTATTACCAAGAGCCCCATCTGAGCATGAATTCCAACTCACCAAAGCTGCATAAGTAGACAGCCTGAATAGCTTGCAGACAAGTATATATATAAAAGAGTCTCTCCTCCCCCAGCAGTTATCTGCTGTTAATGTAACCTCTGGGAGGTCTGTGTCCATTCTAGCCTGTTTCTTGATCAATATGTAACAAAGTTGTCTAAAGACAATGTTCATGTCCAAACTAATTTTTTTTCTTTCAAACAAAACAGAACATGTTTTACCTCTTTGCAACCCTCCATTTAGATTTATCCCTCTTCCACCTCGTGAATTTACCCAGGAGACAGACATGAGGACACTGATTGCTGTTGCCTTGGAAAGAGGGATCCACTCCATCCAGGGCTCTGTGGTTTCCATGGGAACAGCACTGATGCTTTTGCTGGCCCCCAGACTGGCAGGACATACTGGAAAAAGAAAGTTGCAGGGAAGAAAGAAAGTAGCTGGAATAGAAGGAAGTTATGTAGGGGGAAACTCTCAGCTGGATGAGGCTACATCCCTACATAAGTGGGTGTTCTTAGCATGGCATATGTACCATATGGGATTCCCCATAAACTTAACATAGGAATCACATATACAACTCTCATGGACTAACCACCATCCTTGGAAGCATATGAAAAGGCAAGCTGGAATTAGTAATAGGTGGATTTCCATACCAAAACCAGACATAAATGCCCCTTCTACTTCATGCTATCCCAGAAACCTGTTATCATTGTATTAAGAATAGGCTAGATAGACCCAGGAAGCTTGATGGTAGGTATTTCATACACATTGCTTATACTCATCACAGAAATTATACAAAGATAACACCAATGTGCCCATCTACTGATGAAGGAGATCTGGCTCTATGGAGCATAGGATAGAACCCTAGTCTCCATTCCATACTATAGACCTTTATGCAAACTGTAGACATCTGCCTATCATGTTCCCACAGGCAGAGAGCATCCTACTCCATCCACAAGAAAGGTTTTCAGTTGTTTTGGATTTGGCATGGGAGATACACCCTCACAGGATGGCCAGCACCAGACATCAACTCTCAGGGGGCCCTGGAGGGCCTGCACTGATCTCCTATTAACAGATAAGGAAATGGAGGCCAAAGACTACTGGCAGAGACTTCCAGCTGAGTATGGCCCTCTGCCTCCATATGTTCCTTATGGGAAACTGCAGCTGTTCTGTAAACACCACTTCCCACACACATGTATGAAAGTCATATGAATAGTTTGCCTGGTGTATGTGGGAGGATCTCAGCTGCTGTTGGCTACCCTTTCCTGAACCATTTGGCCAATGGGGCAAAGTTGACCTCTTTTCCTGTACCATGACCAGCAGCTTCTCTCTTCAGAGTTCTTTGTCTGCCTCACTGAAGATAGACACGGGCTATGTGTTTACATCATACAGTGTTCTTGGACCAGAGGGAGCAGTGAAGAGGCCCCTCAGAGGCCACCATCCCAGTGGTCATTAAGCAAAGAGACAGAGAGTGGTATTGGGGACTTCCCCCCAAAGAAAACACTGTGTAGTGGGCCTCTGGTGACAGTGTCTTTCCTTGTTCATCGTGTGCAGCCAGGCACAAAGGAACATTTCTCATTGTTTGTGACTCACGCTTTATTATACTGTTAGTGCCAATCAGGGAAATGTGGAAGCTACCAGGGCACAATTCCCTCTACCTTGGGAAATCTCAAAAAGGTCAAAAAGGTCAAAAAAGGTCAAAGGTCAGAGCTGAGGATGGCATCAGAAACCTACATGCAGGCTCTGTCATCAGTAGAGAAGTTTCAGAGCTAATAGCTTCCTCCTAGGGACCCTGGAGAGCATCCTTCATGGTACCCAAACCAACAAAGGTACTGCAATCCAGAGGTATTAGACTCATGGAGGAAAGATTTGGGGATTGAGACAGTTCAATATACTAGTTGGCAGCATTGTAGGGCCCAGGGCTTGACATCAACTTACAGCTTATTTTGTCCTCTCATTGTCATTTCTATGTTGTAGCTTCACTGTGGCCCACAAGGTGTCATCTTCCAATGTTCCTTTGTTTTTAATTAATCAGGAGAATTCAGTGTGGCATGTTTAAAAGAGTGTCCTTATAGAACACACTTGGAGTATCCAGGACATTCTTGTCATTCCTAACCTCACCATTTCATCATCTTAAGAATAGGATACGAGTAGCAAGTATGATTAACTAGCAACCCACAGACAAGCCTTAAAAAAAGTAAAACAACTTCATTGATATATACAAGCATATAACAATTATGTGTTTATTATATGTGTCTGAGCTCAAAAGTATCTTGATATTTTGCTGTACACATATGGTGCGTGCCTGTGTGCGTGCGTGCGTGCATGCGTGTGTGTGTGTGTGTGTGTGTGTGTGTGTGTGTGCCACACATTGATAGCCCAGAATCTAACCATCATTCAGAATTCAAAGTATAGTTTCACTGAACGTGTGAAGCTTTTGCACTATTGCTTGTTGAAGGTCAGCTATAAATTTTGAAATGATTCATACATCAGAGCTAACTAATATCTCTTACCTATGTAGTTACTATAAGGAAGATAATGAGAGAATGGACAGATTGCAAATAAGCAATCAGTACTTTTAGTGCTTCTCCTTGCTACACTTTAGAAGATAAAGCTTACTCTCTGTGCACATGTGTACAGATGTATTCTCTGTTACAAATATCCAGGGCGACAGGGTGACTTACCCTGATACTATCTTGGAAACAGAAAACTGAATATTTGGCCATTGGCTTGTGTCTCGGACAGATCCCCCAGGTGGTGAACCATGATCCTGAGATATTTTCTGTAGTAGCTTTAGGGTTGCCCAGCAGGACTGGGCCCTGGCATCCTTTATGGTCTTCTTTGGTTATCCTCCCTTCCTGGTCTCATGGCCTTCTTCATTTACTATGTACACAGCAGTCACTTCCCAGATAAGCTACACACACCTAAATCTTTGTCTCTCACTCTGCTTTGGGGAGAATGCAAGACTAGTGGCAAACCTATGTCCGTGACACCTGGAATATAATCCCTGCCCTCAGGTGATGATTACCTTGACTGCTCACTAGAGAAATGGTAGGAGGCATCATCAAGCCAGGGGAGATGCTTTCATTGGCTGGTGGTGTCTGCCAAAGGTTGGATGTGGGCAGGCATGGTGTCTGCTGCCTCCTGAGTTACACAGTCTCATGGCAAACGAAGGTCAGGGCAGAAAGAAGAACTGAGTTCCAGAGCAGGATGGAGGTATTGGCGTGCCCCAAGCCAGGGGAGTGTGAGGGAAAGGGAAACAAGGAAGTGAAGGGCAGCTTGGATCTACCCCTTCACCAGCCAATGAGGTGAAACCTGCATGCCCTGCTTAGAAAAACCCTTTTCACTGCATGCAACAAAGTTTAAGATAAATAAAAATCAAATGAAAATATACTATAATATTATAAAACAAGTTTGTAATACTAATCTCATGCTTCCTTGTTGAACTTTTTTTTCTGAGACAAGGTCCCCCCCATGTAATGCCAGCTGGTCTAGAATTCACTATGTAGACCAGACTAATCTCGAACTCACCGAGATCTGCCTGCCTTCGCTGAGAAGATTAAAGGTGTGTGCTGCCACACTCTGCTTCCTTACTTAAAGTTCTAAGTGATATTCTACAGACGGCCGTAGCACTGAGGTGACAAGAAGGAGCTGCACAAACTAATGAAGGGGAGTGGAAAGCACCCTCCACATTTATGCATTCTGTACCACAGATCAACCAACTGTTGAAAATAGTGTGCAGTCCCTAAACATCACAACATGACAACTGTTTACCTACATTTTACATTGTAGGAAAAGCTATGAGTCATCTAGTGATGGTATGCAAAGACCGTGTCATTTTCCAGAAGGGACTTGAACATACCCAGACTCAGTGTCCTCAGAATCCCAGATTCAATCACACATAGACACCAAAGGACAACTCTAGATGAAAATTTGTGTTGTCAGCTGGGGCTGAGGTCATGCTAACACTACCATAGTTGGCCGCTTCTTTTTTGGAAGGAAAACTAAATTCTAGCTGGAGGTTCATGAACTTTCAGTCTTTTAGTTTGTTTTGTTTTGTTCTTAGGCAAGTTCTTAGACCCAGAGTCAACAGGACTCTACAGTCAGGGCTGGAGGTGCTGGCCTAGGTCAGCTGTGCTCAAAAGGTCATCTGTACTGAGCTGCTTCTCTCTCTGTTCTCTAGCCCTGCATGAATTCCCCAGGGACATCTTCTCCAATGAAGACAGACGACAAGGAGCGGTGGTCCTCCATGTGCTCTGTGTAAGTAGCCCCTCTTGTGCCATTGCCTGAAGGGCTTGAAGGACAGAAGGTAGGTAGACAGTGGAATGCCCACAGAGGCTCCACTCCCTCCCGCCTATCTGTCTGGTCATCTCCAAATGTACCAGCTTTTAAAGACTGGCTGGCAGACATTTGACTGTAGTTTTTCATTTTAGTGCCTGCAAGGTATCTTTGAAGTAACGTTTCTTTTTCCCCAATCTGCCTGATCCTATCAACAATCATACAGCACTCTTCGGAGGAAAGATGGAGCCATTTTGTAACCAGCTGCTCCATGTGTCACATGTTTCCATTTACCTTGCTTTATTTTTTCCCTCTATGTAGTCTGTCATTATACAGTTTTTCTCATTGCCTGTCAGCATCCTATGTGGGCCCTGTGAGAACAGGGTCTTGGTAAACCTGGCTCCATTTTCACACTCGTTCTTGGCACATCATGGGAAAATGTTTGCTCAGTCAGCAGATTAAACATAATGACAGCCAGTGTCGCTCCCTTAATAGGTGATCAAATGTAGGTTGTGACTTCCTCTGGTTTTGTAATTCCCACCATTATTCCACATCATCCTCTAAAAACACAGTGAATCTAAGGTATTTGCATCACCTTGTTCCTGTTTGGAGAGGTTGGGGGTTGGTGTGTGTGTGTGTGTGTGTGTGTGTGTGTGTGTGTGTGTGTGTAAGTGACTGCAGAACAAGAAAACTCCAGCTGAGGTCTAAATTAGGCATGTTACTGCCTCAAAACACTCTCACTGCCATCCACTCTGTTTTTATTTCTATGAAATAAGCATCCTAAACTTAGTGAATCCTGTTCACATCCTGTTCTGTGTGTCAACCATTCTGAAAGAGCATGAAGGAAATGCCTTTCCATTAGGGTGGGACAACTTAACTTGAACTGCATGGTACCCTTCCAGAGTGCTTGTTAACTCTAAGGTCTGGGACCTGGGCTTTGCTGAGCTCCTCTTGCCCATCAGTCAAGGCTCCTTCACATGGTCTCTACAGTCCAATAGCCTCCAGGAGTTGGATTTCCATGTGGAAGCTGTGGACTCTAGCATGGCAATGGTTTTGACAAGCAAAGAAGAAGGGTCATAGTCTTTAAAATTTGGCCTCAAGAGCCAGAATGTGTCATTTCTGTTGTGTTTGTTTTAGTCACAAACCCACAATGGTTCAAAAAGAAGATTCAGCAACTAATTCTCAGTCTACACCTAGAGGTGATCGGTAGACATGCCCTGGTCTCTGGAGTCACATCAGACATGGGTTTGAGTCCCTAACCTCTTTGCTGTGTGCATGGTCTCTAACAAGATCACTTCTCTAGATCCACGAGTCATTGAGCTGACTCCTTTCCTAGAAAAGGCAATTGATGACTCTTCAACTCTCTTTCTACTGCACTCCTACATGGAGACAAAAAATGTGACTTTTAGCAAAGACTCTCTGAAAACATCAAACAAGTAAGAGTCCTGGAAGCCTGCCAGTCCTCCCTGCCCTTCCAGAGTCCTGTACACCGAGCAATTAATGTGGGTGCCATCTTTGGCACCACAGAGGCTCCCCTGTCACAAGGCTGAGGCATCCCAGGCACTGAGTGGGATCCAGACTTCCCTGGCAGCTAACAGCACCCTGCTGCTTTGACATCTGAGATATGAGATTCCTGGTCTTGGCCCAAACAGTAAGGGCTTTCTTCCTCCCACAGCAGCACTGCTAGGTGCTTATGGCACGGCCCTACTCTCTCGCTCTCCATTCCCAGCCGAAGACCAGGGGTCCTGAATTCCCTTTGCCCTTCACAAGGTCAGGTTAATCAAAAGGGCTCCTGGAGCCTGTGGTAGGAGTTCCAAGCTGGCATGAAAACAAAGTGGACAACATGTGCTATTACTGCTAGACACTTCCTTACAGTCCACAGAATAACACTTTGTAGTTCCTGATTATCTAATGTTCCATTTTGCCCCTGTCCGGCATCCTACTTTTAGAATCTATAGAGCAAGAAATCCAGAGACCAAGGTCAGTGCCCACGCTCTACGTGCACAGAGTCCAGGAATTATCTATGTATACAACCACCCATGTAGCTTGTGGTGGTTTGAATGAGGAATGTGCTCACATTATGTGAACACTTGGTCCCCGTAGTTGGTGGTGGTACTGCTAGAAGGTGGAGCCTTGCGGGAGGAAGTGAATCACTGGAGGTGGGATTTGAGAGTTCATTCACTCTCTCTGCCTATGACTGAGGATGTAATCTCTCTGCTTCCTGCACTGGCTAGCTGCTGTCATGGTTCCCCTGCCATAAGCCTACAAAACTCTTTCTTCCTTAATTTGCCTTTGGTCATGGTATTTTGTCACAACCAAAAAGTAACCAACACATAGCCTCAAGCTGGCTCCTGAGGTCTGCACAGGCTCCTTTCCAGGGTCCTGATCTTGGAAGGAAGAGACCCAGGTGGATTAACCTTGAATTTGCCCCCTGTACTCCACAGGCATGTGCTTAGCCCAGGGCAGAGTCAGGTGGGACGTGGGGAATATTTTTCTGCATGGCAGAGAGGAATGGGCTGCTGATGCAGCTGCCTTGTCAAGGACACCTCTGACCCATTGGAGGCCCTGCAAAGGAAATATGCCTCAGGAGAGGAGCCCTTTCCATCATGTTTGACTTGCTGAATATCATGAGTTGTAGAGTTATTACTTGCTCAGTGCACGGAAGATCCTTTTATCCCCACATAACTAACATATTACCCAGCAAGTTTAGCTTGCTCAGGAAGTTTACAATGAACATCTTGGGGTGTAAGAATGATTGCTCTAAGGACAGAGAGTGTTCTGGGGGCCAGCAGGAACAGAAGAATGCACAAGTCAAAATTGCAAAAATTTAAATGACCACAATTCTAGAAGCACTTCCTGAGCTCATACAGTTTGACAGTTTTTGACTGAGCCCTTCTGGATGGATGAAAGACAGCTTTACCCTGCAGGAAGTCAGTATGTTGTGAGGAGAGCTACTGGAATCCCTCATGTGCAAAGTACTAACTATGGTTTCTTCTGTCTGCTCACCGGGTTCAGCAGAGGCACACTTAGGGCCAAGATGGTGCTGGCTTTGAAGAGTAGACAGGAAGTTACTAAAGGAAACCTTTAGGAAGAAAACTGGGTATAATTCCAGAAAATAAAGGGAAATCATGAGGTTGGGTCTATGGGTGTGTGGAAATTCAGAGCACCTGGGGGAAGTAAAACTGAAGGACTGGGTAGTAGTGAATGCATAGGGGTGGAGAGGTCATGGAACTCACCTGGAAGTTACCATGAGGTAACTTAGAGGTTGCACTAGTGGGGGAGGGGGACACTGTCCCCCTTCCCCTTCAGCCATACCTCCTTGTTTATGGTTAGGGCTAAAAAAGATCAAATATATAATCAGAGTAGATCTGTCTCCTGCAAGTTGAAAATGTCCCTGCAAGGTCACAGAAAATGGCCCAAAGGCATGTGAGAGAGGCACCTGAGAGACCCAGTATGAGGAGACACACTCCAGAGCCTGGTGTGCCCCCCCCAGCATGTTCTTCTGCCAGTGGGTCCCTGTAAGCATGTCCTGTCATCTTCAGCTGCTGTAGTTTGAATAGATGACCCCATAGACTCTTGTGTTTGAATGCTTGGCCATAGGAAGTGGCACTACTAGGAGGTGTGGCCTTGTTGGAGTGGGTGTGGCCTTGTTGGAGGAAGTGTGTCACTGTGGAGATGGGCTTTGAGGTCTTAGATATGCTCAAGCCACACCCAGTGGGACAGATTACGTCTACTGCCTGTGGATGAAGATGTAGAACTCTCAGCTCCTTCTCTAGCACTGTGTCTGCCTGCATGCTGCCATGTCCTGTCATGATGATAATGAACTAAACCCCTGAAACTGTAAGATGCCCCAATTAAGTGTTTTCCTTTATAAGAAATGCCATGGCCATGGGTGTCTCTTCACAGCAGTAGAACCCTAACTAAGACAGCTGTCCTAGGGATAGAGCTATAGGACTGTTCTTTTCATGAAGTTAACTGGCCATTGTCATGTGTCTCAGGCAGAGCAGCACACACTTTCAGGTCCTCCTGTGAAGCCCAATCACACCTAGCTAGCACTTGCACCCAAACACACACTGCCCATTAATGGTGCTTGTCTCACATGTGTTTGCTTTCTAAATGATGTCTGTAGCCTTTGGCCCTAATTGGTACAGGTCTGTGGATGCGGGCGGCACCAAAGACACCCCCAAAGCAAACTTTTAGAGCTTGCTTCTATTATAGTTTCCTGGAAATACTTCTTTTTCTTCGGTGATTTGTGGAACACATGACAGCCCTTTTTTGCTCAGTTGCTCAACACCCATAGCTCTAATTTCCCCTCTTGGAACCTTTTGGTTTAGAATGCCTAAACTCTGAGATTACACTTGAAAATGCATTTCTGTTTCTTCCAACTGTGTGTGTATGCCTGCCCTGCAAGTGGGCAAATCCCTCCTTTCTGTACAGTTTTAGTCAACAGTGGCTATTCCTAGGAAAGCACAAGTCTTAGAAATCCTTTGTTCTTCCATCTTTTCTAATGCAGAGGTGTTAGAAGCAGGATTTCCTGTCTCTGAAAAAAAAAAAAAATCTGTGTCTTTTGTGAAGTCATTGAGTCTGCCTCCAAATAGAGGGAGAAGCCTGGGGATTATTTTCTAGGGCTGTGATTTGTTTGTGGTTTAAAAATATCTGGCAGATTTTTGCTAATTATCCTGCCTGCCATGGAAAGCTGAATCTCTGGGATGATCAAGCAAGCCAGGCATTTTCTATGCCAGGGGAGGGAGGGAGGCTGTAAATAATCAATACTTGAAATTCTCAGAATGAATTTGGGAAGCTGTCTCTCTTTGGTGGCTCAAACTCCTCTGTGTGACTTGTCAGCTTTCGAAAGTACATTTCATAAGTGTTGAGGGCTTCCCACTTTTGTTTCCCACATTCTAGGTTCATTTTAAATTTATTTATTCTTCCTCATATATTACATTCCAACCACAGTTTCCTCTCCTTCCTCTCCTCCCAGT